TGAGAGTAGGAGAAAACAGCATTTAAGCACATGTGGTCCCAATTCTCTGGATGCAGAGTTTCACTGGTTGTGTTGATTTTACTCTCTATAGTGTTTAGTGGACTGTCATTATCTCAACACAACAGAATAATCAGATTGGACCAGAAGATAGTCCATTGTGAAGAGGAGGTATGGGAAATAATTTGCTTCAGTCATTGCATCTTATTCCGCCTACGGCAAGCTAAAGCACACACACACAAACATGCTGTACATATGGACACCTTGACACACAAACCTTTATGAAAATATAAGCATATACAGACAAGCAGGGCAACTTTAGCTGACGTCACTTCCCACTAATCCTTTAAGTCAGAGACAGCGACTTGGTGAACAGCAGCAAGATGAGGCCCATAAATCAAACCAGGATGTCGGGACAGCCGGATAACACAGTCTGACATAGTCACAAGTATGTTCCAGATTAACCTCTGCCGCCGCCTCAGTCAATACCTCTGCCGGAATGGAATCACTTGGAGCTGTCTGGCACTGGAAGCTGGAAGTCATGCTTTGGCTATAAACACAGACACTAGTCTCTAACAACGGGCTGTGGAGCAGGACGGAGCCCACGGAGTCACACTGCTCTTTGGTCTCTCGAGTCGTTATAACATACTCCCGGCACAGAGTTGTGAAGTTCTCACGTGATGATTTTTAAATGTGCTATTACTGACCAGCTGCTGCATCACATGGGTGCAAACCCATCTTTCATTGCATTTATTGAATGGACACATTCAAAGCAGCATGTTAAGAAGATTTATTTTTTTCAAATGAACACTCATCAAGCCTAAATTGTGCGGTTTGTCCAATACCATTTTGTGAACAAGCTGGACCACATTTTGGGACAGTGCACGAATTACTAAGAAGAGCCACATCCTTATGTTCTGAGGCTGCCCTAAATGACAAACAAGAGACATTAAAAATGAGCCATCGAGAAGATGAAAAAAACAACCTTCCTTTGCTGCTCCAGGAAACAAAGTTTTCTGGTGGTCCCTCACATTAAACTGCCACTAACCCAAACGCTAACACACAGATCCAAACAACATTTGATTACGATTGGCACGAAAGTGGATGCTTTCCATATTTGTCTCCTCATGTGATTTAAGTTCATTTATTTACTCAGAACAATATATTCTCTCACTTGGATGTGTAGTGGGAAGCACTATAGGGTGATTAAAGGCTCCCTACGGAGTGAGACAGAGGAAACAGCCAGAGTTTATTACGCTTGGGCAACACTGTAGCTTAACTGAAATCAGATCCCTGTGGGCTCAGGATGCACATATGCCATAGACACGCACATATGCACCAGTTAGACACAAAAACACACGCTCATGTACACTGTCTTTCTTTGGGATTTGACACAAGAAAGAAAACACTATAAAAGCAACAACTTTAAGCCAGTGTTAATTGATTTTTTGGCCACTTGGGGGCAGCGGAAACAAGATGACTCAACATTGCTGTATTTTTACTGTGTAAAGATGGTAATCTTGTAAGTAAACTGTTGCTTATAGATACACATCTAGCAGACATTGAGCAAGAATATTCATTCATGTGGTGTCATATTTCTGGCCGTGTGACATATCAGACTCTTTAGCTGCTAAATGTGTTCACGAGCTAGTCGATGGCGTTTTGGGCAGGTAGGGTACAAACAACTGCCCTACACTGCTTGAAACTAGGGTTGTTGAGAGTGGTGCGTGAACCAAAACAGTAAAGTTGCATAAAGTTAAAATCCAAAACACTGAGCTGAAAGATGCTAAATAGCTCAGTAGAGTGAATGAGAATGGATGGTTTGACAAATTTTTGTCTCTACAAGCAGCTTCTTTCACATTACACATTATTAAGCCATCATTTCCTTTGTTAATAAAAAGAAAAATGATTATACAGCTGTAAAGTGGGTTGGTGTCTCTGGTCCACACCAGATACTTGGGGGAAAAAAATCATATAACTTGTTAAAAGGGGATGAAATCAACAAAACAGGGTTTACTTGTTTTCGTGTTTTGGTACCACATCAGACTGGAGATATTAACAACTTCCACTGTATCCAATGTAGCTGTTGTTTAGCAAGCAAACCAAGTGCTCATTTTCTACCTGTGAAGATTTTATAATTCTGCAGCATTAAACCAGCGGGTGAATCAGTCCCGTGGTAAACTCTACATCGTTGTGGGAAGGCCTGCACCATTTGTGTGAAGCAAATACCACAACTTCACCAAGTGTGAATTTTAAAGGCCAAACAACAGCCAAGTCAATAGCAAGCAAACTAGGCGCAGTATGAGTGAATCCAGACGGCTTTAGCTTCTTAACCATGAGCTTTCATGTCTCTAAAGTGTGGGACCAAACTGGTAGTTATGAGGTCTGTTTAAATCCTGCTTGAAAGAGGAAATACTTCAGAGTGAAATGCTGGCAGCAGAGTCTTCTAAGAATGAACGATGATATAATGACTGGAGTCTTATATACATTTAAATGATTGTGGAAATTCTAGAGATTAATCCCATGTGTTATTAATATTAGATGGTGACAACTGCTTTTATTTATTCAGCCTGCTCTTGCTGCCACTGGAGGTTACTTTGCCAGTGGTTTTATTCAAACAGTGTACAAACATCATAAATTATCATCTTGACTCTATTATTTTTTGTCCTCCCTGATGTTTGAACAAAAAAATTACCCCAAAATTCTTTGCACTATTGCATGCAAAACGTGCAACAAAACCCCAGACTTGTGTCACGTACATGATAGAGTGGTTGCGATAAACATTTGATGGACAGATCTGATTGTGTGAGAAGTTTTGAGCTTTCCCACTTTCATTAGGCCCTGAGCTGCACACAGCAGTGAGTGAGCGATGAGGAGCCAATAAGGTCGCGGGGAGACAAAGAGGACCCCGTTACGTGACACGAAGGGGAATGATCCTTCCTGCTGTTGCACATGACGTGAGAAGGGGAGACAGGCAACTTTAGGGAGGAGGGGCTTGAAGTCAAGAGGTCAAGTTTTCAATCTGAATGTTTCAACAGGTCACCTTCCCCTCCCTTCCTCTTCTCCCCTTTCGTGACCCCTCCATTCTCCACGCCTGATGAAAGATGCTGATGAACAGCAAAGACAGAGCTGAGCTAGAGTCGACTTCCAGGACTCAGGCAAGACAGTTCATCTCAGTCAGGCACTGTGTATGCGTCTGCAGCCATCTGGCCACCCTTCCTGAATTACAAGGCAGTGTGCGTGTGTGTGTGTGAGTTTCGCAAGTCACGGCCAGTAACCTGAAAGCACCTTGGATTTTATTTTTCTGTTCTCTCCCTGTTTTCCTGTCGGAAGAGGCCTCATTTCGTGCTCCCTGCAAAAGTAACACAGTTCCTCTGTCACGCTGCAACCACCCATCATAAATCTACACACTTAACTATGGGCCCTCAAATCTATCAGCCTGAGTGCTTTGAGTCTGGGGGCCACATCGTGACATGCAAGGAGGCGGGGGCATCTAGTCACGCAAGTGCTGCCCTGCGCCAGGACCTTAACTGGATTTTACTGCAGCCAGCAGGGAAACCAGACGCTGCAAAGGCCTTGGGTCCACATCAATTTCACGAGCAAAGTTACTAGGAAATAAATCATTTTGGGGATTTATGAAAAAGGAGAAGGGGGGTGGGCAGTTAGTATTTGCATACCTTAAGAATGCAAGTAGGGTCAAATTTAGATCTTCATAATAATAAAAGGAAGTTATTTAGCTGTGTTATTTTTAAGTTAGATAAAAGACACTTCTAGGTGTATGGGTAGCTTGACTAATCATATTTCCTCCAGACACGCAAGGTACAAGACCTCAGGCTTTATAGGTCATTTGAGATCGGCAGTTTGGCTTTTACGGGGCAGCTTTCAGTCCAGACTCCATTTAATAAAACACATACAAAGCCAATGTCTCCTTTTCTGCACCTGAAATATGCCAATCATAAAACTGAACCTATTCACACTGTGACTGTGATTAGGTACAGTGTTATTATTATTCCTGTTCTGCTAAAGACTAATCATCTCCCATCAAAAGGACTGTGAGGTTAGAAGGACTATATGCTATACTATCCAATAATTATTCCCTTGCTTAGGCGGAAAATAACTTTATGTATTTCTAAGTATGCATCTTTCCAAGGAGCATGCAGCAGTAAAATCCACCCAATATGTCCTTTTCCTTTATTTTTACTTAAATGTTTTTGTCACTGAACTGTCTCACAAAATCTGAAAATACATGTCAATGTGTTGATGCTTCTCCAAGCCACTACTGTACACATGGCTTAAGAATGAGAGCAATTAAAAAAGGTTTTCTCCCCTGCTAAAAGAAACACATCTACACATGTTAAAATGATATTCTGGTGGCCACATTTTCACTCAGAGAGTTTTCATTTTGAAATCGTTTAGATTGACACTTGTTAAAATATCCCCAGAAGCCTCAACATATATTTCTTCAAGATGTCTAGATTTATGTTTTTAGAAAAGCAGTAAAACCACACTTTAAATCCTAATCTCTGTGTGGGAACCTTTAGTGATTTTTGATTTTGTAAATTATTGAATAAAAAGCAGTGTTGTTGATTTTTGGCTCAAATAAATCCACATGTCAGGCTGCGAAATCTTAAGCTCACATATGTGTTCCACAGTGTGTTTCACCATCATTTACCACAGGGCTGTGATTTGTAATCACAGTTTGTATGGTAATCTCAGTTCCTAGATGAAGGATCTTCTGTGGTTTACCTTGAGAATGCGAACGTATGGACACACACAGGTACATCACAGAAGGCTGCTGTGCTCTGCATGAGAGGCCTTTTTTTGAGGCAACACAAATCAGATGTGTATGTTAGTAATTACCCTACTTTTTGGCTGGCACGCTGCGGCCATTTAGAAGATTAATCAATCATAGATAAATAAACAGGCCTTTTGCTCTCTGAATGTCACTCCTTAACCCCGACACGCCCAGAGTGCTGCTTAAAGAAAGACTACATTGGGGTCCATTTAAGATACCACACATTTTATTTGACTCTATTTCTGCATTTCATTCACAAAAGCAGTTATACATTTGTCTGAAGGTCTGCATTTTGTGTCCTATTCTACCACATTTCATCAAAATAAACTTTGACATGCTACTGTGATGACAAATAAGTAAATAAAAGATGAGAATTTAAGGCTAGTAAATATACATATAAACTAATGTACATGTCCAAAAATTATATAACTATATATTCTATCTATCTATCTGTTATATTTGTCTTGTTTTACTTAAAATAGTATTGAATACATACATAGATCTTAATCATATCAGGTATAGAGAAAAAATAAACAAATTAATGGATGACAATTCAAGAAATATCTTTAAGATTAAGCAGTTTGCCAAGACACACTTAACTTATTAATATAATTAGCATAATAGCATAGCATAATTATTAGTGAATAAAAAAGCATTTCAGAAAATAGTTTCAACATAACATGCCCTCAGGCCTCTTATCACTGGTAGTCATGAGCTCATTTCTTGTCAGCCAGTTAAGGCTCCCCACACAGTGGATCCTGCTCTGGAGGCTCAAGATAATTATCTGCAGGCACGCAAAGTGCTAGCTGGCTTGCTCGGCCCCCAACGCTGTAAAGTATGTGAGGGACAAGACTTCCCTTCACCTTTTTTTTCTCTGCGTTTTGCCATCTTCAATATGTATCAGACCCACATCAGTCAAAAGGGTAATATTTTTCTTGCTAAACATCAACACTCTGGCATTCCAGCACATGGCTGAAACTTTGATTTAGGAGCTCTGTGATATATTCTGTGTGAATCACAACCTTCTCTGAAAGTTTTACTCTAGGTGAGACAGGGCTCCTGTTGAAACAGTCAGCGGCACAATTAACTTCCAGGAGATTACTCCATCTCCTCTGTCAGTGCTCGACTCATATGAGTAATTTCTCAATGAAGGTAATCCAGATTAGCCATTTAAGGAGAGGGTAGTCAGGAACACAAGACATTTGGGGGGGAATGAGAAACTTTTTATAAATTCCAATTTATCAGCACCTCATTCAACAGAGGATCTACTTTACTAAATTAAATGAAATGCTGCCCTCTTGTGTCAAAATAATTTCAGGCACAAATCACTTTCTGTCCCCATATGAAACGTGCTGCACAAACACTTGATATTATTGATATGATAATTGATAGGGGTTTGTTACAACTGTCTTTGATGTAGTTGTGCTGCTTCCACTGACTGTGAGGCGTCTGTCCTCTCCAACAGTCTTGCTGGAATGGTAATAGTAGATGAACAGGAAGAAACCTGCCAGAAGGTAAAGGTTCTTTACACAGAGGAGATGTAGTAATCGCCTGGATCTTTTAAGAAATCTTTACTACTTAATGTAAATTAGATTAAATTAGACTAAATTAGACCATTTGAGTGTAGTTCATATTGCTGTGTGTGAGTCTGGAGTCTACCTTGAAAGGAGTTGAGGATGGTGAAGATATAGTAGGATGCTACACGCAAAGGCCCGTAGCTGAAGAAAGCAAAGGCCCAGGTGATGCCAAGCAGGAAGAACAGGCCTATAATGGAGTAAGAGTTTCTCTTGATGGAGCTGATGTCCTGGCCTTTCCCTGTTGTGGGTTTGAAAAGAACAATCTGCCGCACAGTTATGATGAATATGCTAAAGGTGAAGATGAACACTATAGCATAATAACCGATATTCACCACCTGATGGACAACAGCATCAGAGATCCAGCACCTGAAAATAATATAAATAATAAATAAAACAATCATCCACTTTGTAACATGAATCTCTTTATGTGATAAAGAAATGTGAGACATGCAGTCAGTAAGAGTTGCTTACATTTTTGCTGCGTTCCCATCACTGGTATTTATGACCAGGTAATCATATTTTCCTGAGGCAAGAAGAGCAATCACCACTACAGCTGGTGTGACTGAAGAGAAAGACAATTGAGCGTACATTTTGTTTTGCATGTGAAGTATCAATTTAAGCCCACATGTTTGTTTTGTGCAAATGTGTCAGGTTCAGTTCTCTTACCCCATCCTGCAACGCAAATCTTCATCATGTAATGTTTGATTTCAGATGGGTGCTGCCACAGATTAAAGCACAAGTGTAGAGCCTCCATGAAAAACCAGGTAAAAGTGGCCAACAAAGTGTAGTGCATAACTGCTGCAATGGTCACACATGCGCCAAAGTTCCCTAGGTTGGCAATGCTCTCATTGGTCAGGAAGGACAAGTTCAGGGTGAACATGGCAACAAAGAGGTTGATCAGGATCTTAGTTGCTTGGCTTGCTTTCCCTTTTCTGTGGAGTGAGTGAGTTTGTGTCAGCAAAAGCCTTTAATATAGTAAGTTCAAATGAAAAACTGCCCAGTGATTCTTTACCTGATTAGACAATGCATACAGAGAGCCACTGCTAAGAAAAACATAGACAGGCCACAGCCGATGGATGTGATGTAGGTCAGAGAATTCAAGTCTGAAGAGCTGATGTTTCCTGGTGAGGGTGACTGAAGAAAAACACATAGTTGGTTATGTGGGAAATGTCTGTGGTAGCTACGGTCAAACTGGAATTACTTGTTCATCTCACCAACAGTATTGCAAAAAATGTTAGATGAGAGCACTGGCACGTGATGCTGCCATTGGTCTCATAGGTCCTACAGCCATCTGTGATCCAAATCGCTTCTTTTCCTACAAAGGCAGAAGAAGCTGCTGTACTTAAAAAGTCTCTTTCATATTAATGGCTGAGTGAGCTGTCACACAATGGACTTTTCATTAAAAAGACTATATTTACAGTACCTTTGCCATCCCACGACCTACATGAAGCAATATTTCCTTTCTGTGTTAGAATAAAGAAGAAGAAACTCAATGTTATGTTGTATGTATGTTAAAAAAAGAAAACTCGTAATTGTTGCTTTGTCATAGGCAGTAATTATTAACCTATTATATATTTTATCTTCCACCTCTTACCTTGTCCACATTATTGAACTGAATGTCTATGGTATGTGAGAGGTTGGATATTTCTGTTCCCATATCAATTCCCACTGCCTCATTGTTGAGAAAATAACTGTTGGAGTCATTCTGCTGAGAGTGGAATACAGTTAAGATAGGCACAGGAAAGGTAGACATAATTTAGTAATTATGCTGACATTAAAGTCATCAAGACTGCATAATTAGGTCTTTACTTTTACCTGATATATTCCTGGAAAAAATACAACTCCAACAAATGAACCATTTCTTTCTTCTGCCATGACAACGACCTCTTTTGGGATTTGCACCAATCGAGAGTAGCCCGTTGTCAAATCATTGTTTTCCTCTATAATCTACAAAAAAAAAGATCATCAGAAAACCAGGGTGATTTAACCCTGCTTGATATCGTGTTTTTACTCTCGTATCATGGCAAACTGCTTACTTTGACACCATCACTTGTTGTGATGCCAATGTTGATGTTTTCTTGATTTCTGGGGGGAAGTTTAGTGACCACTCCTTTAATATTGCCTATTTTAATATATGCAGTGGAGTTGCCCGTCTGTTCCAGGTAGGAGGAGAGGTTTTTCATGATATTTCTGTAATAGGAGCACAAACGATCATCATCACAACTCCTAATAATGCCACACCAAATGGCAGCAACATTATTGCTGCCAGTGAGTTAGATACTTACACTGCGTTTTCTAGGCTGCTAATAGTGCTATTTGTTTTATTCACAGGAGGTTGAAGAGTAGAACCTTTTTCTGGTGGCTCACATGACGTTCTCATTTCATGTGCTGCTACGGTCAAGTCTGTTTCTGCTAAACCTGCATTTCAAAAGACAAACATACACAAACAGTAACATGATTGATTTTCACTAACACACTCTTTTGGTTTGTTAATAAAATGATCACTGAGATATAATTAAAAATATATAACCTAACAAACAAATGATAATACCTCTGCACGCCTCTGTATCACATGTTGCCACACAGATGCTGTTTTGGCACAATCGAATATTCTTTACCTTACCTTAAATATATTAAAACATTACATTGTTAGACATATGCCTTGTTAAGAGTGTTTCCTTTACTGTTAAATGTGTGCTGGTATTGAAAGTAAGAGCTGTGGTAGATTTATGATTTTACCTGTATCCAAGCAGTTGTGAATGTTCAAAAGGAAACCTGCAACAGAATAAAAGTTTTATAAGATGACAGCTTAAAAGAGGAAACATTCTCTGGGTGTTACTGTTGACCAATAGGGGTAAATCTCTCACTGCTTTTGTGTGCAAATATGTACTCATATACCCTCTTCAATTAGGCCACTGTCAGAGTCAACATTTACAGAGTTAAGCAGATTGAAAACTACTATGCCCAAACATAGTTGGGTATTGTCAACAATACCTGAAGTCTTGCTGTAGAACTGTGATGGCATGCAATTGAAACGTTGCTCTCCTGAAGTCATCAGTACGATATCTTGCTTGGATAGAGTCTCATTAGTCAGAGCTAGGCTATAGTCATTACCACTTATGTTAAAGCTGCAGTTGAAATCTCCAGTGTTACAGCAGTCTAAAAATACAAACCACAATACACTCACATTCATCAAATGACCAAGAGAAACACTTGTACAGTTATTTCCACTGGGTTCAAATCAGGCTAATAATTAGGATATTGTACCTGCATGTCTGTCGTTTCCATGGACATAGAAACAGAGTTTAATTCCATTGTCATCGCGATAGACAACCTCTGAAATACAATGTGAAAGCACTCTTTACTCAGAATTTTCTTTAAAATGTTTCAGTTCAATTTTCATTCATTTATCTTTCTATGGTGTTATAAAGCTTACCTGATGGAAAATAAAATGTACTGTCTGGCGTTTTGAAGCTGACAAACAGAAAATGTTTTTGTCTGGACATCTGATTTGTGTCTGTAAAAAACAAGATAACAAATGACAAATATAATATACATGTCAATCTGTAGAACAGGTGCTAAATTGTGTTGAGAAATAATGATTTGTTTCAGGTTAACTTTTGTTGAACTTACTCACCTGAGCTCTCACATATGCTGTTCTTGAGGAATATCCCAAAGAACAGGATTGCCATCTCCACTGCAAACATCGAGCGATGCTTTCCATCCAGTGGTGACATTATCCTAAGGAGTAAGGACAATGTCAAGTACATTATGGGATTAAGTTATCTCACCATAAACCTATAGATATATACATTTTTCAGTTCCATCTAACCGTACAACAGCTTCCATTAACTGACTGAGGTGATTTTCTGTGTTCTGCGTTGTCACTCTCTACAGCGACTGTTAGTGAAAGATGAACCATTAATACAGTTCCTGTCTAATTTACCTTGCAAATGAAGCATGTCCACTTTTCTCACAACATGTCGTGATGGCGTTCTCAGCTGGCAGACTGACGCATATAGTGATAGACTGGAGTGAAGAGTTCCTATGTAGTTCTTTTATAGTATTCAGGCATTTTCTCAATGTATGTTTCTGTATTCACATGACAGGATGGACAAAAAATAAATGGTAATTGCAATATATGGTTTATTTTGAACATACTTAAATAAAAGCGAAATATTTCAACTGTAAACATTCTTAATGCTTTGGGCATGTGTGCTGTGACCATTCTATCCAGGGGGCCTACTTTTTTAAAGACATTTGGCCTCCCATCTAAAAAGCTTCCTTGGTTCTTTCTGATAGATTATTTTGACAAAGTTTTGAATGATAGAATTTTCAAGAAAGTAGGAGTGTAGGGGGGCTGATTCCCATTGGATGAACCCTATTTTGGTGTACAGCACTTTATCTGTTAAGGTTGAAAAGCACAGTCTCACAGTACGGCTAGCGTGGCTACAGACTTGGTCTTGTTTGTATATGCGCTTATCTTCCTGTAGAGACATCTGTAGTTATCAGTGAGGATGATGTTTCTGCCATTCTTGTAAAATTGATGCTGAACCAGACCACTGGTCCAGATGGTCTGAAAGTCTGTCTTCTAAAGGACTGTGCTCCTGAACTAAAAAGAGATTGTGCAAGGTTGCTTCAGTCCCTCCCAGATGCACAGTGCCATAATCATAGAAATGAATAATAATCAGGGTGCAAGTATGCCGAATGATTTTCAGCTTATCACAATAACTGTATAAAACCATGGAGAGGCTCTGGCCAGTCACTTGACCTGAAGCTGCCTATCAGACCCACAAACATGGTGGCACAGTAGTCAGTTAGAAATCAGTGTTGCAAAGACAAAGTTTCCAAACACACCCGATATGCCTGCTGATTTGCATGGACATTTTTACACCTAGACACCAAGAATTTATCCGTGCAACCAGTAATACAATTATTAGATTATTAGAATTGTTTACTGTAGGCTTGTCTGATGCAAATTAAATAAACAAATTACTGTCACTGCACGCCATGGAACAAAGTAGACAGTATAGTGGCAGCCAAAACTGTTTGCATTTTGTGCTGATATGAAGAGAAAGGCTTCATACATACAGTATCTGTCTGTAGCCGCACGACAGATTTTCTGCGCCCAGGCGGGGGTGTCTCTCTCCTTCAAATGTATAATGACACGTCTCCTCGTCAGCGAGGCCCAGTAGAGTAACCTTATCCTGGACCTTCAGGCTCTACACAGAGGCAGGCCAGTCAGAAGGGGGAGATGTGGAGCAAGGTGAAGTGTGAGGTGAAATGAGGTTGAGGGAGGAGCAGAGGTGATGGTCAGCTAATCTCCTTTCAGGTTTGGGGTGTGGAGGCCACACTGAGGTGTGAAGGGCCTGGGAGAGGGCCAGAGGGACCAAGATTGCATCACAATAAAGGTGTGAACTAGGAGATGTGTCTCAGAGGAGTGTGAAAAAGTGGTGAATAAAAGGAAGGCAACGTGGAAGTGCAGATGATGATGGGTCATTGGGAGGTCTGCTGAGGGTGGTGGGGAGGTGAGAAAGACCAACATCATGACAGTTTATTTAGCTATTTGGGAGGGTTATAAGGTTAACCTTTTTGTTCCTTTAAGTTTCCACAATGTGAACACTAGCCTGCTCCAAAATTTCACTGCAGTTATTAATTTGTTCGAGCACACTTGACCACATCCCTTCACCCTGTCATTCACTAGCAACGACCACACCATCAACAAGATGTGTGATTTATTAATGAAAAATGATTGCCAATTGGCTTGAAACTCTTGCTGACTGCGTTGTGGGGAAGCTTTGGTAGGAAATCTGCTGTAGCACCTGGCAAATTGAATTTAAATGATTCTTTGGGGTGCTGTGCTTTCCCACAACGCCTATATTATGAGTGCATTGTGGTTTGTTGCCATCTTTCAAATAGCCCATTTCTTCCGAACTGATTCATTGCAGCTTCATAACATGCACTTATAATTTTTAAACTTGCACTTTAAAATGAAAGAGATAGTTATAACTGTAGTTAGTCTTGACATGAACTCAAAGAAAAGCAACAACAATGGCTTAAGTGAAAAAGTAGTTTGAGTGAGTCTGTGCATTTAGCATCACCTGGATCTGTCGAGGAACCAGCTCTACACAGCAGGCTGAGCCTCTATATCAGTATTGTGAAGCACTGAATGTAACAAATGTGATTATATTTAGAACTATTTATTAACTGAACAATGAAAACAAAATGTGTCTATTGTTGCCTGCTACCACTTAAGGTACCATAAAAATATGTGAAAAGCGACTTTCCTTTCAAGACCTGTCATTAAAAATTCATGTAAACCATGAGAAATCTTCCTAAATTAATTTTATAACCCTCAACATGGTAAATGCTACTTTTATTTGCAAACAGCTTTTCAGATTGGGTTGCTGCTGCACAGGTTAAATCTTGTCAAAATGTGCCCCTGGGATCACTGTAAAGAGGCTTGCCCCGGACACTGCTCTTATGTAGGGGGCATAAATAAGCACCCTTTGTTTAAGGTGATGTGATCATTCCTGACCTGTCCTCAGCTGCAGGTAGCCAGGAATGATCATTAGCTTGTATTAATAATATTCTTGTTCCGCTAAAGACTAATGATCTCCCATCAAAAGGACACTGCGGAGGGACTAGATGGTGGAAACTTTCCAATAATTATTCCTTTGCTTATAGACAGAAGATAACTTCTGTTGCATGCAGCAGTAAAATCCACACATTATTTCTTTCACCTTTATTTTTGTAATTTTTTGTCATTGAGCTGTCTCACAAAATCTGAAGATGCACGTCAATGTGTTGGTGCTTCTCCAAGCCACTACGGTACACATGGTTTAAGAGTGAGAGGAATTAAAAAAGGTTTTCTCAGTTTCCCTCCACTAAAGGAAACACATCTACACATGTTAAAATGCTATTCTGGTGGCCACATTTTCACTCAGAGTTTTCTTTTTGAAATAGTTTAGATAAAAATACTTATAGCAGTAAAACCAGTAAAACTTTAAATCCTAATCTCTGTGTGGGAGCCTTTAGTGATTTTTGATTTAATAAATTATTGAATAAATAGCAGTGTTGGTTATCTTTGGCTGCGAAATCTTAAGCTCTTCAAATTGACACATTTTCCATGGTGTGTTTCACCATCATTTATCACAGTGCTGTGATTTGTAATCACATTTTGCATGGTAATCTCAGTTCCTAGATGAAGACTCTGCTGTGGTTTACCTCGAGAACTCGAACGTATGGAGACACACAGGTACATCACAGAAGGCTGCTGTGCTATGCATGAAAGGAAAGACTACTCTGGTGTCCATTTATGATACCACACATTTTATTAAACTCTATTTCTGCATTTCATTCACAAAAGCAGTTACACGTTGGTCTGAAGGTCTGCATTTTGTGTCCTGTTCTACCACATTTTATCAAAATAAACTTTGACACGCTACTATGATCACAAATAAGTAAATAAAAGATGGGACTGTTTAATTTAAGGCTAGTAAAATAAAAATACAAACTAATTGCAAGTATCAAATAAGGCAGATATCTATATGTCCAACAACACTTCTATAATACAGTGGTGTGAAAAAGTGTTTGCCCCCTCCCTGATTTCTATATTTTTTTTCCAGTGTTTGTCACACTGGAATATATCAGATCATCGAACATATTGAGATATTAGACAAAGATAACACAAGTAAACACAAAATGCAGTTTTTTTTTTAATAAGGGGGGAAAAAATCCAAACCTACATGGCCCTGTGTAAAAAAGTGATTGCCCCCCCCCATTAAAACACAAATGAACCGTTTATCACATCTTTGGAGTTCAGTTTCTCTAGCCACACCCACGCCTGATTACTGCCACACCTGTTCGCAATCAAGAAATCACTTAAATAGGACTTGCCTGACAAAGTGAAGTAGACCAAAAGATCCTCATCATGCTGTGATCCAAATAAATTAAGGAACAAATGAGAAACAGAGTAATTGAGACTTATCAGTCTGGAAAAGGTTATAAAGCCATTTCTAAAGCTTTGGAACTCCAGCGAACCACAATGAGCCATTATCCACAAATGGTGAAAACACGGAACAGTGGTGAACCCTCCCAGGAGTGGCAGGACGACCAAAATAACCCCATGAACGCAGCGACCACTCATCCAAGAGGTCACAAAAAACTCCCACAACATTCAAACTGCAGGCTTCATTTGCCTCAGTTAAGGTCAGTGTTCATGACTCCAGCATAAGAAAGAGACTGGACAAAAACTGGGACAATACTCTGTGGACTGACGAGACAAAAAGTGAACTTTTTTGAAGGTGTCCCATTACTTTTGGTGGAAAAGTAATGCAACATTTCAGAAAAGGAACATCACACCAACAGTAAAATATGTGGCGGTAGTGTGATGGTCTGGGGCTGTTTTGCTGCTTTAGGACCTGGAAGACATGCTGTGGTAAATGGAACCATGAAGTCTTTTGTCTACCAAAAAATCCTGAAGGAGAACGTTCAGCCATCTGTTCGTGACCTCAAGCTGAAACGCACATTGTGTTCTGCAGCAGGACAATGATCCAAAGCACACCAGCAGGTCCACCTCTGAATGGCTTATGAAAAACAAAATGAAGACTTTGGAGTGGCATAATCAAAGTCCTGACCTGAATGCAATTGCGATTTTGTGACATGAAAAGCGGTTAAGGCTCAAACCCTCCAATGTGGCTGAACTGCAACAATTCTGCAAAGACAAGTGGGCCGAAATTCCTTCACAGCGCTGTAAAAGACTTACTGCCAGTTATCGCAAACGCTTGATTGCAGTTAAGAGTGGCCCAACCAGTTACTAGGTTTAGGGGGCTCACTTTTTCTCACAAAGCCATGTAGGTTTGGCCTTTTTCCCCTTTTAAAAATAAAAAACCTTCATTTAAAAACTGCATTTTGTTTACTTCTGTTATCTGTGACTAATATTTCAGTATGTTCTGAAACACTTCAGTGTGACAAACATGCAAAAAAAAAATCAGGAAGGGGTAGAGGACAAAAATATACAAATGGATAACAACAGTGATGGCGAGATGAAGCACTGAAGCTTTCCATCCAATTGGTTCACTCATGGGCCGAAGCTTCACGGTGCTTCATTTGCTCTACTGTGCCATAAAGTGGACAATAAATGTAAAACAGGCAGAGTGATTATAACAGCAACATGGCTTTGGTGTGTGAAGCTTTGAACTGAATAAATTAATGAATGATGTTTGTGATGCCAATACATGACTGATTAGCTTTTTAATAAGGCGTCTGTCTTTATGATACAATGACAGAGTAGGAAGGAAAGTGGAAACAAGGGAGAGGGTTATGATAACTTGGTTTGTGACTTTAGATAATAGAGACAACATTTTATTCATCTTTATTTAAAATAACCCTTCCACAGTGCTTCAGGCGGTTTCTTTTTGGAGATAATTTTACCTGCTTTAGAAAATTATTGTTAGGGTAATATGGGGTAAGAGTTTAATTCTTACAAAGCCACAAAATGTAAAAAAAAAAAAACATGTCAACGCTTTCTTTTCCTCTGTTTCATCACAATTTTTGAAGTTATATGATCAAAGCAATTCTGACATAAGTTGATCAAATTTTTTAGTCATTTAAAATTAGCTGTAGATAAAATCTAATTGTGTTCATGTTCAAAAGTCCACAAAATGTTAAGGAGGGTCCGTTGCATTTTGCTGCTCCTTTCAAATCGCACGCCAAACCCGCAAACCATCTCCTGAATCGGCTTGCGAGGCTTCGAACGTCATACGTCATCAACACAAGCCTTGATACGCGCTCGTATACGACTGACACACTCACTAGATAACAAATCAAAAACTTTCTTTAACATTAAGCAGTTTGCCAACATACACTTAACTTATTAAATGGCATAGTGAATAAAAAAAAATTTCAGAAAATAGTTTCAACATAACATGCCCTCAGGCCTCTTATCACTTTAGGTAGTCATGAGCTCATTTCTTGTCAGCCAGTTAAGGCTCCCCAAACAGTGGATCCTGCTCTGGAGGCTCAAGGTAATTATCTGCAGGCACGCAAAGTGCTAGCTGGCTTGCTCGGCCCCCAACGCTGTAAAGTATGTGAGGGACAAGACTTCCCTTCACCTCTATTTTTTTTCTCTGCGTTTTGCCATCTTCAGTATGTATCAGACCCACATCAGTCAAAAGGGTAATATTTTTCTTCCTAAACACTTCCTAAACACTCTGGCATTCCAGCACATGGCTGAAACTTTAATTTAGGAGC